GTGCAATGTGTCGCTGTGGGAGGGAGGAAGGGAGGAGGGGAGAGTAAGGAAGGAGGAGCGGGTAAAGGTGGGAGGGAGGAAGGGAGGAGAGTGAAGGGAGGAAAGGAGGGTGGATAGAGCCGGAAAACGTGGGAGGGAGGGGGTGGGTGGGATTCAGGACATATTTCTGAAAGGGTTTCACCCAGTTCGCAGGACAATTGGAGATCCCAGGGCTCGATCCCTAGACCTATCGCTGAACCCCTGTACAGTTACCCGTTGACCCTGTGTGCCTTGAACCCACAACCTGTCTTCGCTAGAATTAGGGCTAGCCTATACGACTGACCCTAAGACTACTAACCTGTAGGTCTTCGGCTCAAGTCCAAACGACTTGAGCCGAAGACGTACAGGTTAGTAGTCTTAGGGTCAGTCCTATAGGCTAGCCCTAATTCTAGTGAAGAGTCAGTCAGTCGAACCTAGGAAGTTCTAGAAGCCGCTACTTAACCTTTCGGAACTGTCGGAGTCAGTCGTCCATAGCTGAGTCAGCAAGGAAGAGTCCAGTCCCAGCCTTGGTCCCAGTCCACAGCAAATACCAGGTGGGGCTGCACACACTTGGGCCTGGGACCTAAGCAGGCCAGACCACCGACGAAAGAGTATAAATTCAGTCATTCGCCTGCGAGCCATGCGGAAGCGCTGCTTATGCGACTTGTGTGTTGGAGGTCTGCAGGTGCCCGACGATGAAGAGGGCGAGCGGCCATCGCCGCTAGAGGAGGAAGAAGACGACAGCGGCCATAGCCGCTCGGCTGCTGACGTCAACAGATAGGAGTGTAGTGTGTGTGTGTGTGCGTAGACATTCAGGGGAGATCCTATGCGTGTGTGCATGTGTGTGAGTTGTGTGAGAGTGTCTGATGGTGGAGACAGTGACGAAGGGGTAATTCAGACTAGCGCTCAGCGGCCATAGCCGCTAGATGAGACGAGTTGACTTAAGCTGAGTTCCTGGCCAGAGGCCATATTTCTGAGTTTTCTGTGTGGGCGCAGTGCGCCATTGCAAGTTCGTTGCCGATTCTGCGTTGACGAAGTTGTGTTGCCATCGGCACCTACATGTATGCACGTTGCGAGTGAAATTGAGACAAGTCTGATTGCCTTTCAGTGGAAAACTAGTGAAATTCAAATAGAGAACACAGTTCAATACGAAAGTTTCAGACGAATCGTGAACGTTTGAGGAACAGTTTGAGAGAGACAGGAGACTCACCTGAACCGGATGTATTTGTCATTAGGAAAAAGGAGAAATGTGTAGTCATTTTCTCCTCCAAGCAAATATCCATGTTCCGCTCCATCCCAAGACACCTGCATGCCCCCAAGGCACAAGTTCACAATCAAAACTCTCTCTCCCTCTCTCTCTCTCTCTCTCTCTCTCTCTCTCTCTCTCTCTCTCTCTCTCTCTCTCTCTCTCTTTGTGGCTCTGAATAAAGAAAAAAGAGAAGCGACAAAGAGCGCTCATCAGAAACTCTTGGCGTTCATTGTATGAAGGTGCTATTCAGTTTCTTCATGGTGGGCAATCTTTTGCGTGAGATCAAAAATTTCAAGCTTACGGATAAGAAGGAAATCGAATCTGGAAGTGCTAGGCTTTCACTCAGCTTTACTGCAATATGCAAGGCCTCAAATATGATCAATTGTATCTATGAATTCTCTCTCAGTTTGGACTTCACTTGGCTCTTCCACAACAGAGGGAGGGAGGGAGGGGGGGAGGGAGGG